ACAGTTGCTAATATGCATAATGCTTCTGAAATGAGAATTAAAAGATGGAAACAAATGTTGTAAAAGAAAAAATTATAAGCCTAGACTAATTTCAAAATATGTTGACCATAGGTGGAATTCTACATATGTAATGTTAAGTGTAGCAATAGAATATAAAGAAATTATAAATGATTTTATAAATTTTTATGCTTCTAGTTCTAGCTCTGGTAGCACTTATGGAATAAGTGAAGATGAATGGAAAATTATATGTAAAGTAAATGAGATGTTATAAGTTTTTTATGATGCTACTATGTTATTATCTAGTTGTTATTATCCAACTATTACTTTAGCTGCTTTACAAATTTTAAATATTCAAAATTTTTTTGCCAAATATCGTATGGATGATATTTTTGGAAATATAATTTTTTAAATGGAGAGCAAATTTAATAAGTATTTTAGGCCTATTCCTCATATTTTTGGTTTGGGAGTTCTTATTGATCCATGTTTAAAGGATATTGGTCTTTGAAGTTTGTTACAGTCATTGTATGGTGGACAAATTATAGACTTAGATGATGGTTCCACCCTTACTGCTACTTCTCATCATTTATCTATTAGAAATTATTTTCAAATATTATATGATGAGTATGCAGCTAGACATGATGTAGCTGCACAACAGTCTACAGCTTCAGCGCCTTCGGCTTCGAGCACAGGTCGAGGTAAAAATGTAAGTTTTGATAGGTATGCAATGGTAGCTGAACTAACTGGTGGATCTGGAATTGGTTCAGGATTAGAGGTTTCTGAATTAGATGAATATTTTTCTGCTTCCTTAGTTAAATGTCAAGGAAATGCTTAAGATATTTTGCAATGGTGGAGAGTATATGGATCAGTTTCATATCCTATACTTTCCACCATGGTTCGTGACTTACTATCAGTGCAGGTTTCGACAGTAGCTTCGGAATCCGCCTTCAGCACAGCAGGACGTTTGATCGACGACCAGAGGACATGCTTAGATCCGTATACTGTACAAGCGGTGATGTGCTTACAAGATTGGTGGAGGTACGAGAAGCGAACATAAGGCATCGATCGGACTGCTATAATTGAAGATAAATTTGAAGAGTTAAGACTAGCAGATAGATATAAAGATTAGATAATATTCATCAAATTGTAATTTTTATTTCTTAGCTTTAAATTTGTAATGAATTATTTTGAAAAAAGTTATAAACGATAGTGATATAGGTGAGTAGGTGCCAACCTAGTTGGGATTTACTCATCTATTGTGATGCGACGAATTTTGAAATAAATTTATAATTGTAAATGATTTACTGATTATTAATAAAGAAATTATTTTTATCATTTTTTATTTTTATAATTTTTTGTACTTGTAATTTATGTCATTTCAAGATATTAAAAAAATTTATGTCATTTTCTGTAATTTTTATGTATATTTTATAATTTATTATTTTTTTAAATTTAAAAAAAAAATAAAAATAGGAAAAAAAAACCGGGGGAGCCCGGCCACATAATTTTTTGTGTTTATTGTGTTGTTGCATGATTGTTCTTGTTGTTATTGCCCTCCATTATGTGAACACTTATTTGTGGATCTCGGGCTCACCATTACTTCCAATGGTGGAGCCAAGAATTTTTTTAAGGGGAGCCAAGATACAACCATTATACTATGCATTGATAAAAAAGCGATCAAGTATTACAATGTGTAATTAAATTTGAGACATGTAAGTAGGTGAGAGAAAAACATAAACCTTATGAAATTGGAAGAATCACATCTCGCAATTCCATCACAAAAAAAAACACATGAAAATATAAATACGATTTAAATTTTCTAGTATCAAATGCAAAAATACATGAAAATTACAACATTATTTCTCTAATATATTGCAAACGTAAAGAAAACTACATGAAAAGATGATATATGTGTATTGGTTTTTTCATATTATCCACCCAAATTTTTTAAATGATTTAAAATTAGTCTCTTTACTTAGAGGATGGTTTAAACTGAGAAAAAATATTTCGTCGTCTTTAACATTTTTGGGTGTAATAGAAGTTATGCTCATCATATCCATTCAAACCCTAACCCTGAACAAAACCTTCATTGGACTACAAGTTTGGGAAAATTTTATTAGATTTACAACTGCTAAATTTGAGCATGTTTTAGTGGATTTTAATTATTTATTTTGACTGATTTGGCAATTACCCGTCCCTCACTAACCACTTCCCAATTGTGGTCAACAATTTGGATGGTAAATGTAAGAAATGATAATTTCTAACGTTTTAAGGATTTGGTGGACTAATTGCATGATATGGAGATTTGGAGAACTAATTTCAGATATGAAATATTTTGGGGGATTAATTTCAAATATGCAAGCTTCGAAATCTAATTTCAAATGAAAGTTTTGAGGGACTTTATGATAAAAATCCATATACATGGGTTTATTTGTAAAAAGTTAGGTTGTGGGGACGGGGGCATGAACCCACCTCACGG